TTTCACAGGGGGGTAAGATACACTTTAAGTAAAGTAACAAAGTATTTCTACTTAGATACTTGACACCTCTGCTTCTCTGTAAATTTAAAGCCAGAGTGATGTTCATGTGTGTCTTTATTTTAGTAAATCTGTCACATTTTACCATTTTTTTAAATTCAGCTTGAGACATGGAGAAATATGACAAACTGGCCAAGATTGGAGAAGGTTCCTATGGAGTGGTGTTCAAGTGCAGGCACAGGGACACCGGTCAGGTCGTGGCCATCAAGAAGTTTGTGGAGTCCGAAGACGACCCRGTCATTAAGAAGATCGCACAGAGGGAAATACGCATGCTGAAGGTGAGGAGTCKTCACTTTCAGTTTCACTTTTTAACAACATTTTCATGTCAGGAACTGGTGTGAAGATAAAGATCTATAGCAGCAGACAGCAGGCTTCTCTGTGGTTAGAGTCAAATCAAAYCATGTGGCTTTAACTGAATATTCATTTTCTCAGCTGGGTTGTAGGCATCTGAAACTGTAATATTTATTCATTTAGCATCACAAAGTGCTTCATAATAAAAGTGAAGCAAAACTGTAGAAACATGGAACTCCATATCTGATCTGATTTAAATTTGACAGTTTTTGATGTTTCTAAAGTCATTGTTCATGTTTCTAAAGCCAGACCTAAAACACCCATTTATGTTTAATTTACGAAATCTTCTTTTCTGGAGCAACAATCAGAGCTTCACTTTTATCTAAAGTCAGCTGCAGGTAGTTGTCACTCAGCCAAAGCAGTTTAGTTTTTAAAACTTACTTTCCTTAAGTGAGCAGTAGAGCAGGGAGTCATCAGCATCAGCTGAAACTGCACATTAAAGGGATCCATGATTAGTTGTAACATTACTTTATCTGATAAACATTTTAACTGTAAATTAAAGACGATAAAAATACTGTAGGATGTATAGTTTTCATAATTTTTAAACAAAATTTTTAAATATGTATTTTAACACGGACGGGGCCATTTTATTTCCACACAAAGCATTCTGGGTAAATGATGACGTGGATAGGTCCTCGGTGCGAGGCTGCTAGCGAGCTATATCCACCCTGAAGGTTAATCTTGGACAATATCTGATGATCGACTCTTTTAAATGAAACCTTTAGCTTTAGCGCCGACACTATATTTCCTTATATGTATTAGCTCGGTGCTAGCGTGACAAACAAGCTAAACTGAGGTCCTCCATCC